CTAATCCCAGGAACCTTTCCCATTCTGCGTCGCCGCCGGCGATTGCTCCGACACGCTCCATACTTTCACCGATTTGTCCAAACTACCACTATACACCACCCATTTCCCATAGGCGGCGCTCGACTCCGCCTCCCTCTCCACCGCCACACATTTCACCGGTCCGGTGTGCCCCGTCAGAACCGACAAACATGTGTGTTGGGCCACCTCCCTCCGCCACACGCATATCGTTTTATCAGCTGATCCACTAAACACCAAGTTCCCGACAACCGCAAGGCAAAGAACCGCTAATTTATGCCCCTTAAGAACGCCGCCATGTGAAAACTGGTTTTCTTTCTCCCAGAAGTTCACCACCCCGTCCGACGACCCGCAGTAGACGACGGAACCCGGTTTTGACCAAGCCAACGCATTCACCGCACACTCTTGTTCCAATAGCGTCTTCACGTACATATGCTTCATGTTCTTCCCCTTCCCTTCTCGCTTCCACACCTTCACCGACCCCTCCGCCGATCCGGTGAACACCAGGCTGTCGACGGTGGAAACGACGGAGTTCACAGCGTCTTCGTGCGCCTTCACAGACTCTAGACATTTTGAATTTGACATTTTCCATACCTTAAAAGTTCTGTCCCATGAACCTGAATAAAGCAAGCCTTCTTCTTCGTTGATGCTGAGGCAGGAAATGGCGTCGCAGTGTTTGATCCAGAGCGCCGTACGATTGCGTTTTACCTCAACGTAATTCTTGGACTTCATCGAGCTCTTCAGAATGTCGAAGAATTTCGGAAAAGTTCCAATGCGTTTATGAGTTTTTTGGTCTTTGCTGTTGGATTTCCAAACTCGAACCTTTCCGTCTTGATGTCCGGTGAAAATCTTGTCGCCGGATATAATGATAGCCTTCACGAGACCACTGTTGGATTTGAATGTGGTGAACAACTTCATGTTCTTCCAAACATGGATATTCTTGCTGTCCGATCCGGTGTAAAGGAGGCCGCCGGTGGCGGCAAGGGAGTAAATGTGGCCTTCCTCCCGGACCAGAGAGCCGATGAGGCCATATTCGGGACTTGAAGTGGACGAAGAAGGAGATGGTTGAAAAGGACGGGTCTGATTCCATGGTGACATCATCATCGGAGAACCCTCACCGCTCATACGGTTGGATTCGTCGTCGACGTTGGAGTAGTCATCGTCGGCGGTGGAGAAGTTTGATCGATCAGAATGCATTGTTTTTTTTATCTCCAAATTGTGTTAGTTTTTATGATGATATGTGTTTTCGTGTTCAATAATCATATAATAATGGATCAAGATTGTTGGAATTGAAATCGAATTAATGGAAATCGATGCAGGAATTAGAATCGGAGAAGATGAACATGGTTTGGGGAGAAAGTGAGAAATGATTGTTGGTGAGAGGTATAAATGGAAGAGTTTGAAGAAGGAAATGATGACACGTGTGCGGGTGGTAAGAAAAAATTTCGTTGGTTACTTTTGGCTCCCATTTCTTCCATCAAAATATGCTCACTCCTTAGTCCTTACCAACTAAGACTACAATGCATACATGCATTTCACCGTATTACAGTTTCACGTTTAATGCCACGATCCCAAATTTTTTAATACCACGTTATTTTCTTCCTCAATCCTAAAAATAATCTTGAGCTCCAATCCCAAAATCTGAGCCTCCTGGGTTAGCAACTGAATCTGGATAGAATCCAGGTGATCGAAAATAATATATATGTCCTCATCTAGATTTCGGTCATCTTCTAAGCTTTGGACCGTGTTAAATAGACCATTGGTGTTCCCTTTAATAATCCTTAGTTCATCATTGACAGTGCGGATCTGTTGGGCGTGTCGAGCGATGCGAACAACTAGGGTAGGTATAGCATGATTAGAAGATGTCTCGAGGGGAGGAATAGGTGGTGGAGCCTGTGATGACTCCCCAAACTCAAACTAAAATGGTATCACGTCCTCGACTTTCCATTCTTATAGTTGAGTTATCCGGGATGAGGACCTCTTTGGGGCTACTGGAGATGTGGTTGTGGAGTGCTTCGCTTCAGACTGCGAAGAGATATGGTTTTTAGTGGAGTGCTATGCATGTGTGGGCCACCAGGGAAAAGTCGAAATAACTTGCCTAACGATGGTGGTAATGGAGCCTCTTCCTTAGTGATGGGCTCTGACTCCTCTTCTTCTGGTTCTTCCTCAGAATACCTCCTCCTCAGTCTGCCAATCGTCATTCTTTGCGTGCTCGTCGTCATCCTCAACCTCCTCGTTCTCGTAACCAGAGTAATCGACCTCCTCCTCAGCGAGTTCTATCTCCTCTTCAACAGGGTCATCCCCTTCGGAAGACTCAGAAGGGTCTTCGGAGGGCTAACATAATGGCTCCATTGGCTCCTCAAATGACTCTGAGGGATCGTCCTCATGGTATGGCTCCTTGTCGGATGTCACACCCCGGACCAGAACGGCGGAAACATCCGGAGGCGGGTGACGTCATTGTGTAGTATCATAACAATTGAATATAAATGAAACATAGCAAATCCAAACATCATACATTGAGATAACAAACTTACATAGTTTTACATCTTGTTTATGTTCTTGAATTACACAAAAGAGACAACATTGAGTACATTTCAAACTACATCAAAATAAACTTGAATCCGCATCCCATTAACCTGCTTATTGATTTACTGAGAATACAAGTCGTTTGAAAAGCGTCAACATAAAATATGTTGGTGAGTTCATAAGCATTTAGTATAAAAATCTGTGATAGTTGGAAAGTAGAAAATCCCATATTTTCTCATCAAAGTAGTTGTAAGTCTTGTTTCCTATCGTGTACAGTTGCATGTGTGTTTTAGTTTATCGTTTTCGAAGTTGTATAAAATCGTTTTCCCCATAAAATCCTATATTTTCTGATGTATAAAATAGTAGTCTTGAAACCCTACGACTTTGTGTGGCAAAGCTTCGCTTAACGTATCCAAACAATAGTTGTTTTTAATTGAATGGTGTAACTTGCGTAAAGTTCTAAATAATAACTGTTATATTCTAAGTGATTCGTTATAACCATACAAATATGACGGAGTGTCTGTTCTGACGTTCTTCAGGCATCGATTTCGTTTAAGACATTTGTCACCCTAGACTGGCCGGTCTAGCTGTAGCGAACAACGAAGGTGTGGGGTGTCAACCCCGTATAGATCTATACACAAATTCTTGCTCCCCCTCCAGGAGACTCTGGTTATAACTCTTACAGGACTTTAAGCGTACACTATTAAATATATATAGGTACTGTGAAGATGCGTCTGACTAGAATACTAACAGGTGTTTGTGCAAAAATCGTTGTAATCCGTTATTTATTACATAAATAACAATAATGTACTCGTTGACTAGATATTTCGTTTTTGTTTATGGAAATTCTCCTTTTTAAATCGGGCTTGTCAAAAATGGCTAAATATTCTCAATGTTGGCAAAAATGGTCCTTCATTTTATAATTTATCAAATAAGACTCATATTTGTCAAAAGGTGGCTCAAAGCTACGCGAGTTGTTGAAAGTGGTCTATTTCCTCCAAAATACTTGTTTAAGCAATTTTTGACGTAAATACTTATGGTTTTTGTCATCAAAATTTGTAACTTATATTTTGTAACATACTAGTTCTTGTTTCTATACATATTTTGTGAAATATGGTTCAAACTTTTGAGATTTGCTCAAGATTTCGTGTTCATGGAGTTTTCATAACTTTAGCACATATAACTTAGCATACATGCATGACAAGCAAATATATCAAGATTTAAACAAGGCTTTGACTTGTATTCTCCCCCAAAACATAGTAAAATTCGAAAACAGGGGGTATGAAGCTCACCTTGAGTTGGTTGATGAGTTGATTGGAGTGATGGGGTGAAAATCTCTAGCTTAAACTCTTGGATGAGTTGAGGAACTTCTTTTGAAGGAATGTTGTCCTAAGAGTTTTTCTCACATATTATTATGGGTAAAAATAATGTGATTTATCTTGAAAATTACATAAAATACTAGATGGATGGAAGAACTTACTTAAGAACTCTAAGGAGAACTTGAGGAATTTAGCCTTTAACAAGATCCTTGTTCTTGCTCTTGAGAGGAGTATTAGAGAGAATATGAGAGAAGTGAGAGAAATGGTGAAGTTTAAAGCTCTCTCTTATGTCGTTGCTTTAAGGGGATAAGGAAAAGGGGGGGGGGGGAATAGGTGCATGGAAATCTGAAGGTTCAAAGCATTGATATTTGGTGGGTAATGCATGGATTACTGTGATTTGCATGGAGAATGGGAATTACATCAAATCACAAAGTCAAGCCCTCTTATCCTTATCTCATTCTCATCATGACTTAAAATAATATCTTTATAAATCTTAAGTATTATTTTATGTAAATAAGTTTTAAATATTCAAATTTGGCATAAAATAGGGGTTTAAGGGGTCTAAGTTATGAAAAATACGAATTGGTCCAAATTCCAGAGTCAAATGGTGAGTTCCAGAGTCAATCTCAAATTTCGGAGTCAATCCATATGTTCTGAAGTCCCTTTTCGGTTCCGGAGTCGCACAGCAAATTCCGAACTCGGGTTGCGAAGTCAGCTCATCCGGAGTCGTTTCCTTCCTGAGACTGCAAGGGCTTCTGGTCCGAAGTCAGAGGTCTTCCGGAGTGGGTTTGGTCCGGAGCATGCGAGATCTTCCGGAGCATGCTGAGGCATTCCGGAGCAAAACAGGAGGTTCCGAAATGGGACGGTTCCGGAGCGAGATTACCCGGGCGGGAGGGTCCGAAGTGAGGAATGTTCCGAACTAAGAGGGTTCCGAACTGGGCTTTCTCTTTCAAGTTTTTCTCCTTTCGTTTTTGAGTTGGTTTTGACTAAGGAAACTACATTAGGAGATTTGGGAGAGATTTGAGATACATAGAGAGATTTAGGAGAGATTTGAGATACATAGAGAGATGGGAGAGATTTGAGATACATTGAGAGATTTGCATTAACAATACATGTTTCATTAGTAACCATAAAACAAACTTTAACATGCTAGTACAAGTTTTACAATAGTTGATGTTTACATGAGGACAGGATTTCCTAGCTAAAAATGCTAGTTGTGACATCATCCCTCGGTTAGAGGGAATTTCGTCCCGAAATTCTTTTGAAAGGTAGGATCATGAATGCGAGAATAAGTGAGGGTACTTCTGCTTCATCTGGTCTTCGTGTTCCCAAGTGAATTCCGGTCCACGCTTAGCGTTCCATCGAACCTTCACAATAGGAATGCGACTCTGTTTCGTGCGCTTCACCTCCCTATCCATTATCTCGACCGGTTCTTCAACGAACAGGAGATTCTCGTTTATCTCAATCTCTTCTAGAGGAATGACAAGGGTTTCATCTGATAAGCACTTTTTCAAATTTGATATGTGGAACACGAGGTGTACGTTGCTAAGCTCCGAGGGTAGCTGTAGCTTATAGGCCACCGAACCAATTCGGGCAAGAATCTCGAACGGTCCGATGTATCGCGAGTTTAACTTTCCTCGTTTCCCAAAACGGCTCATCCCTTTCCAGGGAGAGACCTTTAATAGCACTCGATCTCCGACTTGGAACTCCAAAGGTTTTCGTCGTTTGTCGGCGTAACTCTTTTGTCGGTCACGCGATGCTTGGAGTCGGGCTTTTATTTGGATTATCTTCTTTGTAGTTTCTCGAATGATTTCCGATCCTATAAGAGTGCTGCTCGGTGATTGCCCTTTTTCAAGCTGGGTGTCACCCACCTCAGCCCAACAAAGGGGCGATCTACACTTCCGGCCATACAAGGCCTCAAAGGGAGCGACTCCTATGCACGTGTGGTAGCTGTTGTTATATGAAAATTCAACTAGGGGCAGGTGGGTATCCCAGGCTTTGCCAAAATCTATTACACATGCTCGGAGCATGTCTTCTAGAGTCTGAATAGTTCGCTTGCTTTGGACATCAATCTGAGGGTCGTAGGCAGTGCTCATATCCAGTCGGGTTCCCAATGCTTTCTGGAGCGACTGCCAAAAACGAGAGGTGAATCTACTATCTCGATATGACATAATAGATATGGGAACTCCATGAAGTCTCACCACCTCTTTCAGGTATATTCGCGTTACCTTCTCCATTTTGTACGTCTCCTTTATTGGCAGGAAATGGACGGATTTTGTTAATCGGTCGACGATCACCCAGATAGCATCCAGACCGTCTGCCGTCTTGGGTAATTGTAACGACCCAAAAATC